GTTTTGTAAAAATCGACGCGTTTCAAAAAGGCGGGGCATAGAGGAGAAACAATAATGTACAGTATGTGGAAAATAATGTGTTTTTTTAACTTTAAACCGCATAAACACATTTCATTACACCAAATACACAAAATAATGTTCTTTTTAGCAGCATCATATGACCCCTTTAATGTCACCTGTGTTCAGTCTAATTTCCTACTTTGTTCACGCCGGCCCTGTATTTTCTGCTTTAGTTCTGCCGTCTGTGTTTACACTGCATTTTCATTCTTTCATACAGTTCATGTTCCAACAAAAGTTTAGTTCTAAATTTTAAGTGCCATTGTTTAGAAAATGCTTTGTTGACTGACGTTTCATAGACATTCAGTTGTTATGGTTTCAGCTTTTATGCCATGTGTTTCTATCTGTATCTTAAATAAGAAGGGTTGATGATATTTTAAATGTATTGATGTCACTGTTATATAAGTTACTACACAACTGCAGTCACAGTTCTAAAGTGCTCGTGGCGGCGTGTTGCAACAGAAATATTCTCCATATACTCAGAAAACAGATACAGCTTTAACTCTCTGCAGAACTAATCTCTCCGTCTCCGTCTCTGGCTGTATGCAGATTTCCTAAAGGTGCTCCGATTGTTTTTGTTGTCAAATACGTTATGGGATGTTGATGCGTTATAGAAACGAAAATGGTGTGTAAAATTGATTTTAAGATTAAGAAATAGATGATAATGAACTTTTTGGCCAAATTAGAAAAGGATTTAACATAAACCCTACCACACATTTGTGAATCAGTGGGACAGAACTTGACGTTTGTAATGCTTACTGCTTCAGAACACATTTAAGAAGCTGCTCGAGCCAGTTTTCGACGCTCCTCAGATGAGATAAAGTCTTTGGACCGGATGACAGAGCTGCGAGTCTAAACTTTAAAACGTTCCTGTTGTCTGTTAAACCTTTAATTTCATGGCACATTTTAGTCTGTCAAATTACAGCATCAACTGGATTATTATTATTTTAACTTTATTTTTTGTGTGTGTTCATGAACAGAATAGATTGAGCTAAAAAATGCTTGGCAGAGTTGAAGGAACCTGAGCTCATACTTCAGTCAGTAAAATATAAGGTTCCTCTAAATGAGTCCACTCATAATATAAATTATATATATATATATAAAATTGCAACACAAGTGAACATTGTCACAGCTTTATTTAATTTGAATTCGTAAATAGAGGTTGACATCCGCTTGTAGAACATGCTCCGTATGTCTTCACGCTGAACGTGATGCAGGTGATGAACTATGATAGTTTTTATGTTCGTTTCTCGCTGTACAACTTTGTCAGTTTGTCAGTTTTGAATAAAGTTGTGGGAGTTTTAGCATTTAGTGAAGTGCGTGAATAAAATACTATTAAAACAAACCATGCATGTTACAGATTTTTTTATTTATTTTTTGTGGCGCTGTGTGCAGATGGAAACAATCGAAAAGCTTTGGATTAATGTTTTATTATTATTTCAGTTACTGTCATAGACATACTGTTTCTCTGTAAAATCAGCATGTAGCAATTTCACCAAAAAACTGAACATCACTGACCATCAAGCAAGTGTTTATCAGGTTAGAGCTGATTATTTACTCCTAAACTCTCATTAAAACAAAACAAGGTGTTGTATATTTGAGACCACTGTGTGCTGCTCACAATATGTTACATGCATGCACACAGAACAGTGGTGAATGAGTTTTTCATATATTTAGATTTCCTTTCATATACAAATCTACTTTGACATATTTGTGGGTTTTCAACCATTCAATCACGATGACTGATTCTGTACTTCCATGTTTTGTTCAAAGTGTTCATGTAGCTCAAAGTACATGATACCAAATGAAACGCAAATAATGGAACTAAAATCCACTAGCACAAATAATAAGCAAAGTCAAGTGAAAAGTACAAATATACAAATATCTGAAATGTCAGGTAATAAAAAAAAAAAAGGAATGAAGTAAAACTGTACAAAACAGGAATGACTAATTAATTACTAAAACCTAAAAAATGACCAGTATCTGAACTAAAAAACTGAGCATTTTAACAGCTGACGAGCTGCAAAGTAAGACGAACTAACTGGATTCTTTTAGAGGTGAAGCTGTTGTCGTTAGAGAAGGCAAATTAAATGAAGATTTCACATGCATATTTGTGTTGATCTTGTAGATACCGATCCCTCCGCATGCTCAGGGGTTTACAACATTAGCAAGCTGCAACTTTCTTTTTACAAGGTTAGTTTGGCTCAAGAGGGACACGAGCTGGTTTGGAACATTGGTCGTCTCTTGTCTCATGAAAAATCATTTCACACACGCTGCGGTCTCGTAATCCGGGTCAAACACTGCACTGTGGTTAGAAACAGGTGCAACAAAAGATGCAAACATGCTCTGGTCAGACCTTCTGGTCTCTGGTTCAGTCCGGGTGTTTTGTAGTTTTTCTCCTGTAATGCACGCCAGTCAATAACCCACGCCTGCCTTCCGCTGCGTTACATGGAGCTACGCTGAGCCACGGTTACGCGTCACTGGAGGCGCAGAGAGTTTTCTGCAGTGTTTGTACAGCTCATTAGAGAAAAGAACAAAACAGTCATCGCTAGACAATATGTGTTTAGGACTAAAGCGTGAACGCTGTCCAAGTAAACATGCTGAAAAGGCTTTCTCTTCTCTAAAGTCAACCCACTGGAATTATGGGTAACGTGTTTATGACATTACTGACTTAAGGCAAAGTTCTTCAGAATTCATTCGTAGTTCATTCATGAATCCCAACAAAGGCACTCAGTCTTTGAGAAACATCTGTAAAGTGGCACTGATGCGTCACGGCGCCACCGTGTGGTCAATCCCTGTAGTGTTTATGGTGAAGTAGTCTAGTGTCTTACTAAATAAACGGCGGGTTTCTGGAGCCTGTAGAGGGTTAGTTGGGCGCTGTTTCTCCATCCGTCCCTCTGTCAGAACGATCTGCCGGCTGACATCTGCGACGAGGTGTGCGCGCATCCAGCCAAACATCTCAAGTGACTTCAGCTCGAGCGCGTTGCGTTGGGGCCACAGTGCTAGCGGGCTACAGCGCTAACGCGGCGAGTTAGCCTTTACCCTGACGTCTCTCTCTGCTCAGTGAGGATCTCCGTCAGACGAGACCAAGTCAAACTGACACAGAGACCCAGAAGAGCTCAGAGCTCTGGGAAAACTCTCGTCCCCTACATCGGCGGCTCCTCTTCCATGGGTTCATCCTCCGTCCTGAGCAGAAACACAGCAAAGACGGTCACACGACAGAACCGAAGGACAGGTGGAAGGAAGAAAGCAGGGAAAGCGGATGTACCTTTTCTCCAGTGCTGCGACAGATAAAGAAGCCATTGCCGTCACCGTCTCGTTCTCCTCAGAGTCGCCTCTCTGAGCTTCCAGCAGAGACAAACCCGCGCTGGGCGCAACCCGCTGGACACACCGCCAGTACTGACCTAAACACAGAGAACAGGACACACAATCAGCTCCACAGGACCCTTCCAGCGTCAGTTCAGCTCCACTGACAGCATCTGTGGCCTTCAGTTTGTACAACAAGCCAAATTCAGAGTTCAGCATGGCGTCGATCACGGCTTTGATTCGCAGGGTTCTGAGAACATGTACAGCTCATCTCGACCGCAACACAAACCGTTCTGGATTATGGGGTCTGTACATAAAATAAAAATATTTACACAGAGAAGAGGTCAGTAAGTGATTCTATCACGTATTTAATTGTGTTTTGCCCTGTAGACTTCCACTGTAAGACATTTCATTCTTCTTGAAAAGACCTGAATGACTCACTGTGATTTTCTAGGACTTTCTCTATGGAGCGCACAGCGTTTTCATTGGGTCTCTGCTTCAGGACGTCTGCAGAAAGCGGCTCTAGCTGTTCAACACAAAAACACAAGCAATCAAAGTCACAAATCTATCTGTAAAAAGTCACCTTACACAAATGAAAACTTACAAAGCAAAGGATGATGGGAACTCGTTTACCTCTATCCCCAGCAGCGCTGAGACGCAGGCCTCGGACGCGTCACATATGGCCCTGAGGTCATGACCTCCCTCCAGCGCCAGCACCACTCGACCCCCAGCTAACCCCATCAGCTGTTTAGTCAGGTGACCCAAACCTGTCACAAAACCATGTTGGTGGCTTTTACTGAAACCATCCAAACAACAAATACAGCTAGACACAAGTGAGTTCAGGTGTCTTGTTCACGGTACAGAGCGGCGCTTACATCTGGAGGAGAGTTTATATCCTCCCAGCGGAGGAGGGTGTCCTTCCACCGCATCAAACCCTGCCGACACCAGCACCAGATCTGGAGCAAACTCGCTAGCGATCGGCATAACCACCGTCCTGTGAGGTCAAGCATTCACAGAGACACAAACCTTCACATTATCAACTAAACGTGACTGCAGGTTATTTATGGGACAGACAGACATTGTGCAGTTCCTGCGAATCTTCAGCCTGGCGCAAAATATTAGTTTTTAAAAAAATTGCCTGCATACAATTTCTGAAACTATGGCTCCTAAACTCTACAAACAAAACATTACGGATCTCTTGCAAAAGCAAACACTTTTTTTCCCCCAAAGTATTTTAACTCCTATAAAAATTGTGTTTTTGCATTAAAGCTCTACACACAAATGATTGGCCAAACTACACACAGATATGAGAAATGGAAAACACTACTATCTTGTGTCTTTTGTTCAGTGTGCAGTGGAGTTTGTCACATGCACAAGTGCAAAAATACACTGTATAAACTGATGAACTTTACAGTTATTGAACTGGACTGAATCCTCACTGACCTGCACTGTAGAACCACACTATCGGCTTGTTAGAGCTGCTTTAATTTGAGTTTGTTACTCCTGCCGTCTGTTCTTCGTCTGTGAATTACTCGATTAGCTGGATTTTATTGTTGGCGATCTGACATGATCCAGGATTGTTTGGTTCTTCGAAGCTCATCCTGGAGTTGTTGTCATAGCAACAGGTCCGCTAGCTCAAACCTGCTCGGGAGCAGCTTATTTAACGAAAACAGGATTAGTTTGTCTCGTTTTAAGTGAAGATGATACTGAAAGTCTGTCCCAGCCACTGCTACTTTCTTACAAGAGCACCATACCGAACCAGGAAAATGAATTTTTAAAAATAATAATATTAATAATAAAATTAATTGGTAACACTTTACAATAAGGTTCATTAGTTAAAATGAACTAAGTTTGAGCAATACTTCTACAGCATTTATTAATCTTAGTTAATGTTAATTTCAACATTTACTACTGCATTATTAAAATCAAAAGTTGTGCTTGTTAACATTAGTTAATGCACTGTGAATTAACATGAACGAATGTATTTTCATTAACATTAACAAATATTAATAAATACTGTAATAAATGTATTGTTCATTGTTTGATCATGTTAGTTAATACATTAACTAACCCTAACTAATGGAACCCTATTGTAAAGTGTTAGCAAAAATGTAAAATATTTAGAAAATAATTAAAATGTTGCGTAATCTATAATAACAGACACGGCCAATTTGACTCGCGGTGAGATTTATTCGTGAAGGAATAATAATTGCAGTCAGACTCGCACACATGACGTACAGTTAGCCGTGCATTAATTTGAGCGGTGAGCTTTTATGCGGGTGATGCAGACCACTTCTCAAATCTCTAAATGCTTTTATGATGCACAATTAATTTAAACACAGTCAGTTATGTCTTAAGGGATTTAGAAACTTTAATTAATGCGGTCACACATAGCAAATCCCTTTCAAAATCAATGAATTGCTAATTACAATACTCTTGACATTGAAAAATGCAAAGCCTGTACAAATACTAGAAATGGTGAAAAATACTTGGGAATCATTTAACTAACTGTTACACATTTTATTTATGCGTTATAACTTTTGTGTAATTTTGCTCACTTGGCTGCGTCCCTGATCTTAATTACAGTATATGATGTCATTACGTTGATCTCTTGCTGCCAGCCAATCACTGCACTGCTATCATGGTTTCGAGTATCGGTATATATCTGCCCTTTCTGATGAACATGTCAACTCGGAGTAATGTTTGCAAACTTGCTTGAAGAACCGAATTAGCCAGAGGTCAGTTATCAGGATTATAAGATCTGGCATCTATCAAATCATCTCGGATGTGTTCAGCGAGGTACGAAGAACGGATCCCTGCTTTGACACGATCTGTATTGTATAAAGCATTATAGAAATAAAGGTGACTTGACTTGTATGGATATCCAGTGTAAGTACTGTACACAGTGCTTTATACAATACAGACGGTTTCAAAGCAGCTTTAGTGATGAACAGGAAAACAGTGATGCAAACAAAATTAAATTCTGCTGTAAGGTAGCTCTTGAAAGAGGACAACAGGTAAACAGTCAACATTCAGTCGAAATCAGTTCATTGTTCAATAACTCTGTAAATCCATTAATTATGAAATGAGTTTAATTACTCTATAAAGCAGCTAGAGTTTGGATTTCTAAATGATCTAATTAGGTATATTTACACTACAAAAATAAATGCAAGGAGGTAAAAATAATTTATTTCTTCCGCAAAACATTAAGTTTTGATTTCTAAGTGAACAAATGATGTAGAAATGGTTTCACACATGATCATTAGCTGTAGGTAATCAGCAAATAAGTGTGGCATTTAAATGGCAGCGTTTCTCAAATTAAACAAGTGCTGTTGGTTTAGAAAGATTTGTCTAATGCAGAGAACTGTGGTGATTTTACATTGTTTTCTACATAGCTCACATCTAACTGTATTCTGTTCAACAGTCGAAATCAGATTCTGTCCTTAAAACCACAAGAACGAGCGACTGCTCGACAAACAACACAACTCGTGTGTGTGAGCGAGAGTGTGATCATGTATTTAAACACTAAATCACCTCCTGAAGTCTTAAAGCATCAGTCACACTCACAAACAGCTGACCGCTGATGAACAGATCTGATGAAGTGAACAGAACTGACGAGCAAATGAAGAGCGAGCGGAACGTGTTCGATGAGAGACGCTTTTACCTGAAGGCAGCGAGGTATTCTGCGTCACCCATCGGTGGATCCAGACCTCCAGTAAACGCCACGTTGACGTTGAAACCGACTCCCGGCCCACTGCCCACCTGTTCAGAGGAAGTGCTGCACGAGTTAGGAATAAATCAAACTTCCCACAATCCACGCACTCGTATCACTGCATTACCTCTTCAGGAGCGCCGCTGCCCGGAAAGAAATTACCATCATCGTATCGATGAAGTGAAACGTACAGAACTCTGGGATCGTCATAGAACGCTTGTTGAGTTCCGTTGCCATGATGAACGTCCTGAATGTGGTTTAAGAAAAATTATCAAATGTTAAACGGAAAGAAAAGAAAATACAGAAGTGCCAAATAATTCTTCTAAATAAACTCACCCAATCAACAATCAGAATTTTGCCGACATCGAGTCTTTGCTGTAGGAGTTTAGCTGCTATGGCAACAGAGTTAAAGTAACAGAAGCCCCTGTGATTGGACGAGAGCACCAATGTTACAGGAGTAAAGGAAGACAGCACAGAGCGACACTAACACAGAGACGCGTCTCACATGGGCGTGCTCTCCTCTGCGTGGTGTCCCGGCGGCCGGACCACAGCGAAGCCGTTCTGCAATGAAGCCAGAGACACACCGCTCTACGTCAATCAAATAATACAGACAGACATACAGATACACATAAAGAGAGAAAGACAATGGCAGACGGCAACCTTCAGCTCTCCTGATGCCACTTTGAAGACGAGTTCGACCACAGAACCGACGGCCAGACGCGCTGCGCTCGACGAGTGAACTTCATTCCAGACCGTGTCACTGTCGACCTTCACAGACAAAGCAGAAACCTTCCTTACATGCTGCACAAATGATGAAGAGATGGTTGAGACGCACTTCATTTAATTCTACTCACCCCAATACCGCCACACGGCAGCCTGACGAACATGGAGATGACAGAACCTGAGCCAGACAGAGAGAAGATGACTTATCAGAGATGCAGTCTGTGTCTGAGTGAAGCAGGGGTGTCCAAACACGCTCCTGGAGGGCCGCTGTCCTGCAGAGTTCAGCTCCAACCCCAACAAAACACACCTAAACCAGCTAATCAGGGTCTAACTAGGTATACTAGAAACTTCCAGGCAGGTGTTTGGGAGCTGGTTGGAGCTAAACTCCACCCCTGGAGTAAATGATGACAGGATCTTCTTTTGACTTGGACATGACTTACTGTCCAGTTTCTGCCGTAGTGGGTTGGTCCCATACAACATGACATGAGCTTCAGAATGAACCGTCTGCAGTTCCTCTAATGTGGCTTTTCTCCCACGGATACACTGAAAATACAGGACAGAGAGATTGAGTAGAGCACGAGAGCGCCCCCTGCTGACACATCATGAGGTGTACTGCCTGCAGCTCAGCGCCTGAGGAAAATAAAACAACAACAGGGTCCAAAACCAGCACTCGCCAGTGAAACGCAGCTCTAATATTAGGAAGGGCAGCACAATGCACAATTTGAATCAAACTTTAAGGATGACAATCTTAAACTCACATAAGTGATTCAGAGAAAAATGGGACTCGCGTGTTTGTGAACAACTATCTATATAAAAATTGACCATCAGAAGATTTTTTCCTGAACGTTATGTGGAAAATTCCTCACATTAAAATAGCAAAACAAATTCACAATGTGTCTAGAGGTTTTTGTTAGGCTTTTGATTCAGCTCAAGCATCAAGCTGTTCATCAGAAACGGACAAATAACTCCAATATTACAGAAGAAAAAAAAAAAAAGATTTATTTTAAGGAAAATGACAGAGTTTGGTACCAAACCGCGACAAACGCCAGTCGCCCTTCTCTGCAGAACGCGATATCTTTTACCTGAAGGCAGCGAGGTATTCTGCGTCGCACATCGGTGGATCCAGACCTCCAGTAAATGCCACGTTGACGTTGAAACCGACTCCCGGCCCACTGCCCACCTGTTCAGAGGAAGTGCTGCACGAGTTAGGAATAAATCAAACTTCCCACAATCCACGCACTCGTATCACTGCATTACCTCTTCAGGAGCGCCGCTGCCCGGAAAGAAATTACCATCATCGTATCGATGAAGTGAAACGTACAGAACTCTGGGATCGTCATAGAACGCTTGTTGAGTTCCGTTGCCATGATGAACGTCCTGAATGTGGTTTAAGAAAAATTATCAAATGTTAAACGGAAAGAAAAGAAAATACAGAAGTGCCAAATAATTCTTCTAAATAAACTCACCCAATCAACAATCAGAATTTTGCCGACATCGAGTCTTTGCTGTAGGAGTTTAGCTGCTATGGCAACAGAGTTAAAGTAACAGAAGCCCCTGTGATTGGACGAGAGCACCAATGTTACAGGAGTAAAGGAAGACAGCACAGAGCGACACTAACACAGAGACGCGTCTCACATGGGCGTGCTCTCCTCTGCGTGGTGTCCCGGCGGCCGGACCACAGCGAAGCCGTTCTGCAATGAAGCCAGAGACACACCGCTCTACGTCAATCAATAATACAGACAGACATACAGATACACATAAAGAGAGAAAGACAATGGCAGACGGCAACCTTCAGCTCTCCTGATGCCACTTTGAAGACGAGTTCGACCACAGAACCGACGGCCAGACGCGCTGCGCTCGACGAGTGAACTTCATTCCAGACCGTGTCACTGTCGACCTTCACAGACAAAGCAGAAACCTTCCTTACATGCTGCACAAATGATGAAGAGATGGTTGAGACGCACTTCATTTAATTCTACTCACCCCAATACCGCCACACGGCAGCCTGACGAACATGGAGATGACAGAACCTGAGCCAGACAGAGAGAAGATGACTTATCAGAGATGCAGTCTGTGTCTGAGTGAAGCAGGGGTGTCCAAACACGCTCCTGGAGGGCCGCTGTCCTGCAGAGTTCAGCTCCAACCCCAACAAAACACACCTAAACCAGCTAATCAGGGTCTAACTAGGTATACTAGAAACTTCCAGGCAGGTGTTTGGGAGCTGGTTGGAGCTAAACTCCACCCCTGGAGTAAATGATGACAGGATCTTCTTTTGACTTGGACATGACTTACTGTCCAGTTTCTGCCGTAGTGGGTTGGTCCCATACAACATGACATGAGCTTCAGAATGAACCGTCTGCAGTTCCTCTAATGTGGCTTTTCTCCCACGGATACACTGAAAATACAGGACAGAGAGATTGAGTAGAGCACGAGAGCGCCCCCTGCTGACACATCATGAGGTGTACTGCCTGCAGCTCAGCGCCTGAGGAAAATAAAACAACAACAGGGTCCAAAACCAGCACTCGCCAGTGAAACGCAGCTCTAATATTAGGAAGGGCAGCACAATGCACAATTTGAATCAAACTTTAAGGATGACAATCTTAAACTCACATAAGTGATTCAGAGAAAAATGGGACTCGCGTGTTTGTGAACAACTATCTATATAAAAATTGACCATCAGAAGATTTTTTCCTGAACGTTATGTGGAAAATTCCTCACATTAAAATAGCAAAACAAATTCACAATGTGTCTAGAGGTTTTTGTTAGGCTTTTGATTCAGCTCAAGCATCAAGCTGTTCATCAGAAACGGACAAATAACTCCAATATTACAGAAGAAAAAAAAAAAAAGATTTATTTTAAGGAAAATGACAGAGTTTGGTACCAAACCGCGACAAACGCCAGTCGCCCTTCTCTGCAGAACGCGATATATCCGCTCCACCAATCACAGCGCACCATTCCACGCACTCTAGACAGTAACAACCAATCACAGCGCACCATTCCACGCACTCTAGACAGTAATGGCGGCGCTTTGAATACACCCGGCATCCTAGTTTTCCTCATCTATTTTGTGATCAACAAACAAACTTAGGGCTGCATGATAACTTGTGTATTTTCAACAGTTTCAATATGAAAAATAAATTTGATATTGATTCAATGGATTTATTGCATTTTGGGGAAAAAACATTTTTTTATAAGAAATCTTTGAAAATCAAAATCTGGATTAGAATTTTTAATGTTATTATAACCTAAAGATGCTATGTGAAAGATTGAAACAGAAAATAATGGTTTTCATCTAGCCACTTTCTTGGTAAAGAAAACACATTTTTACTCAAATTAATCAAAATGGATTTATAGCGTTTTGGAACCAAACTCTTCAAATATTCTTGGCCAGTAAATTTCACCATTGGCAGGTGTGACCAAAGATTACTCCTGGACCCTTACAGCACAAACAGGAATGTTGGTAGTGTTCACGTGGCTCGTGACTCATGTTATCAGATGTGTCCCACCTCGCACTGGCTGCGCAGGCCCGTCTCCTGCAGCCGAGACCAGATGCTCTGGATGCGCCCGGCGTGTTCGGGGTGTGTGTTGCTGTTGCCACACATGCACTGGTGCTTCTGCATGAGAGAGTCGTACACCAGACCTACAGAAAAATGCACAAGGCACATGCAGAAACTTTCACTGGAGCGTTCATGAATTCTGTATTAAAGGCAAGGCAAGGCAAGTTTATTTATATAGCACATTTCATACACAATGGTAATTCAAAGTGCTTTACATAAAAGGAAGTAAAATAATCATAAAAAAGAATCACAACACTAAAACAAGGAATTTAAATGATTTAAAAATTGATTTAAAATGAATTTAAAACAGTTAAAAATAGAAAATGATTATACATAAAATATAGTGCAATCAGTTCGGACATCGCACAGTGCTCATTCATGAAGTCGCCGCAAAAAAAATGGCTGCCCACTGCTCCGGGTGTGTGTTCACAGTGTGTGTGTGTTCACTGCTGTGTGTGTGCACTTTGGATGGGTTAAATGCAGAGCACTAATTCCGAGTATGGGTCACCATACTTGGCCACATGTCACGTCACTTTTTCACTTTCAGTAAATGCACAGCTAAACAGATGAGTTTTGAGTCTGCATTTAAATGTGACTAATGTTTTAGCACATCTGATCTCTTCTGGAAGCTGATTCCAACTGCGGGCGGCATAATTGTCTCTGTGCTGTGATGCGGTCGGAAACCAGATTGAAAATTGTCCAGGTATCCATTTGAGTTTAAGTATTTGTTCAGCTGATTAAAGACTACCTTTTCAATAATCTTGCCTATAAAAGGAAGATTTGATATTGGTCTATAGTTGCTCAAAATGGTGTTATCAAGATTGCTTTTTCAGTCACAGTTCAGTTCAGTTTAAAGTTACAGAGAGGGCAGTACGGTGTGACGCACCTGTGGTAAAATGAGGTCTGGAAGGCTGTTCCTGCAGGCTGATGAATGAGGCAGACGCAGGAGATGACTGGGCTCTGGACAGAGGACGGTGCCCTGGGAAACTGACCGATGCACCGGCCGACTCCATGGATGCTTGGTAGTTTCTGAGCTGATGGATCCTCTGCTGCTCCAGTAGAATAGCCTGCTGCTCTCACACACACACACACACACACACACACACACACATTACAGGTGCTGTGGACTGACAACCACCACAAGAGGGCGACACAAACAGCAGACACAGCATCTCTCTCTCCCATTGGTTCTCCTTGAGCTCTAGGTGTCTCGCACCTGTTTGAAGAGCAGCTCTTGTTCTTCCTGTCTCTGCTCCTCTGTGAGATCAGGAGGTTCCTGTTTAATGAGGAGGCTCATGGGAAGTGTTTCCGTCTGTGTGGCATCCTGCTGCTCTCGGAGCTCTTCCTCCGTCTCTTCTGGGTGGCTCTGGTGCTGCCGATCACAGGGTTTACTCAACATCTAACAGACAGACAGAGTAAAGACGATAAATCCTAATAAATCATTGTTTCAGGGTAGGGCTGGGTGGTATATCGAGTTTGTACGATATATCGATATATTCTTCATAAGCGATATGGTATGAAGCAATACCGTTTATATCGATATACAGTAGTTTGATACGAGCGCATCTGAAAAATAGTGGACGAGACAGAGTGAGCTGCTGCGGGGCAAGTGCATAATCCATTTTGTCCTAAACATGAGACATGCTTTATATTAAGGGCTTTAAAATAACTGGTAAGATATAGCATAAAAATACAGAGACTTTTTTGGCCCTATCGCCCAGCCCTATTTCAGGGTACACTGTTGTTGCTGAAAACGTATATTGAGTTTATTAGTCCTTTTGCTGATGCTTTTGTCCAAAGCAACTCACATTGCATGTTATCATTCCCTGGGAATCAAACCCATGACATGGCGTTGTTAGCACCATGCTCTACTTTTCACCATTTTACATTTTTTCACCATGCTTTCTTGAACCATATTGAGGTGTTCTCATTTAGACAGACAAAACAGCTGCTCTTCATTCAGGACTGCAGGGACTGTAGGAAAGAAAGTCAGGCGCCAGAGAACGTTACTGACGTCAGAGCCTCCTTTGTTGCCTCATCTTTATCTTTTCTTCCAAACAAGCGTTTCTTTTTTCCTTCCTTCTGAACATGAGGAACTCCAGAGTGAGAAGCTTCCAGCCGGAGACCCTCTGCTGAAAGACTGCTGTTCAGTGGTGTGTTTAAATACACAGACACGCAGAGACTCGCACGTGAGAAGCACACAGCCCTGCAGAGTTTAGCTTCAACCCTAATTAAATGCACCTGATCCAGTTCTTTAGGCTTATTTGAAAACTACATGCTATGTGTCGAAGCAGGAAATAAACTCTGCAGGGCGACTGTGGCTCTCCAGGAACTGAGTTTTGCACTAGGTTTGTAAAAAAAAAAAAAGTAGAATTTCAAATATTCGTCGAATTAAAAAAAAAAATCCACATTTTTAGTTCTGCCTCAGCCGTCAGGCAGCTTATCAGTGGCGCACGAAATGCGACGACGATGTAAGTGTCATTGCATTTGAACGCTTTTGTTAGCCTATCCAGTTGAACTCACTAGATGCGGCGCTGCTACGTTGTTCATTCAATATATTGCAGAAAACGAGCGCATCAGTGTGGAGATGTTGTTTACGTCAAAACTGAAACCAAGCCGTTCACACAGAACGCATATTTATCTCATTTTCTATAGGGACATCTATCATCTAAATTAATGTAAATTCAACTTTTAAAAATTCGAATATAATTTGAATTTTGATAATATTTAAGTAAAAAATTCGAATTTTGTTTTTCAGTCATTTTGACAGCCCTATTTTGCACCCTGCTGTAGAGCACCACTGAACAAGCCCGTTCTGCTGATATGAAACCTTGACCTTACATGACCTCAGCTGGCCACGTCTTATGTTCGGCGGGACTCGAAACTCAGCCCAGATCCTCAGCTGTCAACATACCATCATGTGCTGGTAAAATATCTGTTTCCTTGCAGCATTCACCATTAACCACATGAACGGTAACAGCAGTAAACAGAACCTCGGGGACGATATTAATCACATCCACCTGAGATATTCCCAACAACTGAGTCTCCGCTACAGCTAATTATTACAAGCGTTTCATCTGTCATGGTAGGGATAGGGTGAAGAGATTGATGTCTGACCTTGTTGATGTGGAGCTGCTGGAAGTGCTGCTTGTGTTTCTCCAGGAACTGCTGGTGCTGTTGTTGAACCACGAGCTGCTGGAGCGCCTGGCTGCTCTGGGGCAGAGGAGCCGACTGTGTGCGGCCCAGCGGCTGGTGCTGACGCAGCTTCTGCAGCGACCCCGCTCCCATACCTGCAACAACAGACAATCCTCATGAACACACGCATGCGGGCGCAAGGATACACTCACGACGGCTGGGCAGAGATAATCTGACAGCAGTCTCGGTTCAACTGAGTTTCCAAAACCGCTTGACACTGAAACACCCTGTAAAATATGTTAATTCATTCGGAGTTCTCCACAGACGTCACGACCGTCCATGCGTGGCTGACCTGGCATCTGAAGACGGCTTTGGGTCCCGCGGGTCTCTGCACCCATTTGATCGGGTTCATTGTTTCGCTTCCTGCTCCCATTCAGATAATTAGAGGCATATTCTTCTGGTCCTGTGGGAGCGCGAGTGAACCCAGCTGGCACGCGGTGCTGGCATGAAGATCGCTCCGCCTGGCACACCGTGTTCCTCTGACCTGCCGCGAGCGACTCGGAACACTGATCTAATTAACCGAGGGACCCCGGACTCGGGCCGCACCTCAGCGCCGTTCTGGGCAGCGGACTGTTCACACATTTCAAGGTTTATGTAACGCTTTGACAGCGGCCCTGGGAAATGCTCCGCGATCCGGGCCAGTAGCTATTACGCAAATAAAAAGGTTTGTAATGGCCTGCACACTGTTACTAAACCAGGACAGAAACTCAAAGAACTCTGAGCTCTACTCACCTGCGGCTAAAGGACTCGGTGGGGCTGATTGCTCCAGAAGGACCATGTGCTGCAGCAGTGCATTGTGGGAGTTTGCAGTGTCCGAATTGCCAAGAAATGACGGTAGGTGAGAGGCGACCAGGAACGGAGTGCTTATGGGTAAACCGGTCACAGACAAACATTCGCTGTCAGGCTGGGTAGACGTCACCTTGTTGAAGAAGCAACAAAATAAAACTGAGCCTTTTCCAAAGCATCACATGACGAAGCAAAAGGAAGATGAGTGCTGACCAAACGCTCCTAACCAGGTGGACAAATACAGGTCGATTATGACGGTTTCTCACACGCAGATCAGATCAGTACGGTATTAACTGTGAATGTTACAGTGTTACAGTCTAATTACTATGTTTATGTTCCAGTATAAATATCTAAACATCCTTTAAAAACAAATTTAATTAAAAGGCAAAACTAACTCAAATCAGACAACTTCAGAGAATCTGTCTTGAATTAAGTGCATTTTTCTAACCCCTTGTAAAAACGGTTGTAACAGCACAAGCTCAGTTAGGTCTGAACACTCACGTTGTTGGTGGCAGTGGCCGGCAGACCCAGGGTGATGTTGGGTAGTGAAGGAGACGTGTAGAGAGACAGCTGACTAACCGACCCGTCCTGACCAGCCGGCCTGTGAGACGACTGGAGCACATTCACATCAACACTTTTAGCAGATGCTTTTATCGAAAGCGATTTAAAATAGACGAACATAAGCAATTTACCACAGAGCCAACAGTATTCATAGTGTAGAATGCCAGGTTTATTAGAAAGCTAGACTAGGAAACAAGCTAGAGCAGAGATGAAATGTAGAGAAAGAAGAATTGTGTGTGTGTGTGTGTGTGTGTAAGAGGTCTGCACGGGCTTTAAACTGAAGCCCGTACCCGAGTTTTTCTTTCGCTACAAACCCGAAACCCAACCTGAAACCTGAGAGTAGTTCGGGACCCGTTGGGCTCGTGTCGGGTAGCAGACCTCTACACACACACACTCACAGACACTCACAGACACACACTCACACACACACACACACACACAGACACTCACTCACACACACACACACACTCACTCACACACTCACACACACACACACACACACACTCACTCACACACTCACACACTCACACACACACACTCACACACTCACACACACACACCAAACTAGCCTCACCTCAGTCACACTGATGCCGTTCTCGCACAGGTTTCCGTGTGAGCTGTTGTTTGGGGAACTGGGTCCAGATCCAGGAGCGCTGCTACACACCGAATCTACGGACCATCAGAAGAAGAGACAGAGTTTGTCTGTGTGAAAACAGTCACGTGTCCATGCCAGCAAACATGCATCTTGCATCACCTGCCATGTCCAGAGAGCGTTTCTTGAGCGTGCTGATGGGACTGTCTTTGCGGCGCAGTAACGGGCTGCTCCTCCGCTCCGACACCTTCTGCTTCAGCCGCGAACGCAGCTTCAGGTTCGGTTCAGACGCTACAGCGACACACACAATGACAGAAGCTGTTTTCACGTGCTGCCTCGCTATATGTAGAAACTGTGAATAGAGTGCATGTTTCATTCAGAACGAGGTTTGTCCAACTGCTCCATGCCATCACAGGCACAAGTGCAGATGCTAGTAATACTAGAGTTACTAGCGGGAGATTCTGTAGGCCTCACCACAGAACAAACACAAGCGTCATTACAGCACACGCAGGCGATGATGCTCACCGATACATACGGAGTGGAAACCTAACACAGAAGAGTGAGGTGAGGGAGAAAACATAACCTGGAAACCAGCTTCACAAGAGCAAAGTAATGATTGCAGACTACCCACAATGCTTCAGTACATTCTCACATGATTCTCCATGGATTTATCAGAGACTCTATGCGCTGCCTGGCACCGATTCATGAGGTTTGGTAAGTTACTATGAGCACGTCCACAGAGGTTTTGCTGTCGGGTATGAACAGCAGCAGATGCAGAGCCTCTTCTTCAACACAGAATGGCTCAGATCGTGACGTGTGCCATATTCTCTCATTTGATTTTCAAGATGACGATCAACTGCACGCGTCAGACGTCGCTCTGCGTGCTCTCCATCCGGCAGTAGATTTACCTCTGTTTGACATCTTAAGTCAGAATCTCAGCATTACAAGAAAAGGTCGATTCATTCGGCTGTTGTCCCGCTCTCTATTCATTCAGTCGTTACTGGAAATGATGCTCGTGGCTCTGTGAAATACGGGAGGCTCCTAACAAACGGCTTTCCATTAACATAAGCAAATTCCACAAACTCGTCACTAGACGGGAAAAGCGCAGAGAATGAATCGGGTTATTGAGGAGAGCCGCTGCTCTGGGACGAGCCATCCGATCACTTCACCTACAGGACGGTTTCATCTTATGTTGTGTAGGACGTCAGACGCTGCTGTTTGTAGCATATCACACACACACACCGTCTACACTGTTTAGCTGCAATCACAATGTTGGGGAAAGTTAAATTTGCTGTAGGACAGAAACATATGAAGTTATTGAGGATCTACAGCAATGAAACATCAAGACTGAATCAAACTAAATCTGCTGAAGCTCTCGATCCTGAAGCCCAAACACACTCTTCTCAGTCTGACTGATCCAGTCTCCACACACACACACTCTCACACACACTCTCACTCACACACACTCTCACTCTCTCACACACACACTCACTCTCTCTCACACACACACTCTCACTCGCACACACACTCTCACTCACACACACTCTCACTCTCTCACACACACACTCACTCTCTCTCACACACACACTCTCACTCGCACACACACTCTCACTCACACACACTCTCACTCTCTCACACACACACTCACTCTCTCTCACACACACACTCTCACTCGCACACACACTCTCACTCACACACACTCTCACTCTCTCACACACACACTCACTCTCTCTCACACACACACTCTCACTCGCACACACACTCTCACTCACACACACTCTCACTCTCTCACACACACACTCACTCTCTCTCACACACACACTCTCACTCGCACACACACTCTCACTCACACACACTCTCACTCTCTCACACACACACTCACTCTCTCTCACACACACACTCTCACTCGCACACACACTCTCACTCACACACACTCTCACTCTCTCACACACACACTCACTCTCTCTCACACACACACTCTCACTCGCACACACACTCTCACTCACACACACTCTCACTCTCTCACACACACACTCACTCTCTCTCACACACACACTCTCACTCGCACACACACTCTCACTCACACACACTCTCACTCTCTCACACACACACTCACTCTCTCTCACACACACACTCTCACTCGCACACACACTCTCACTCACACACACTCTCACTCTCTCACACACACACTCACTCTCTCTCACACACACACTCTCACTCGCACACACACTCTCACTCACACACACTCTCACTCTCTCACACACACACTCACTCTCTCTCACACACACACTCTCACTCGCACACACACTCTCACTCACACACACTCTCACTCTCTCACACACACACTCACTCTCTCTCACACACACACTCTCACTCGCACACACACTCTCACTCACACACACTCTCACTCTCTCACACACACACTCACTCTCTCACACACACACACACACACACACCTCTTGCCAAACTCATGGCAGCATGCTGGAATGCACTAATGCTGGCCAGAGTAAACTGTGGCTCATATCCAGCGCTGGGCTCGAGTCAACAGCATCGCACCGGCTTCACTGCTAAGTGAATAATTATACAGTACAAGCAGCGCTCAGCGACGGCTTCCTCTGAAGGTTAGGATCCGTTCACGCCAAAATTCACGCAAGACAAGAATCTCACCAAAACAGAGCCGCTATTTCTGTCAGTTTGCAGAAGGACTGATGATAACACGTGAAGTGAAGCACCTGTTTTGCGCAGTGGAAAGTCATCTTTGGAGTCGTAGACGCCCATGGCAGGAGGGTTGTAGATACTAACACTGGTCTGAGGAGGGGAGCTCTGATCCAAAGAACTGTGCTGAGTTTTCCTGCACAGAAAAAGACAGACAGAGAAAATAGAAAAGCAGTAATCAAAACACAAGCGATGGGAAAAACATGATGAACTGATACGGGCCACAGGCTCTCCAGCTTTAACATCAGAGTAAAGATCAGCAGCGTGAATCATTGTAATTATGCACTACAGTGAGGAGGGTTAGGGTTACGCAACACATCCAGACACATGGGCTGCAGGTTCGAATCCCATTTTCCCTCCATTTGCCCCCTATGTTCTCAGCTGCCTGACACATTGAAGCCAAAAAGGCCACGAGAGAAAGGATTTCAAGCTGAAAAGTGTTATATTTATACACCACAAATGTTGCTGAATCACCCGTCTCTGGTTAGAGCAGATACACAGGTCTGGTTAACTGTTTGTCACTCTGACTGATGTTTTCATCCGTTTGTGCTTGAATAACTAACAGAAGTGGTGCTGCGTGTGACGTTTCTTACCCGTACCAGTAGCGTGGGTTGTTGGAGATGCAGTGGTTGAGACTGCGCTGAGCGAGCGCTTTCTTTTTATTCAGAACAAACTCCTGCAGACGCATCTTCACCTCTGTACTGGCCACCGCACCTGTTCACAGCAGAGCGCAGGATTTACCAAAGCTCGCCGCCAGACGAAACTGCTGAGCACAGCTTTGTTATTTCAGTGTAACTGACGTTTAATACTACTGGCATCAAAAGGATTCTCTTACTTAGAAGTAACACGGTGAAAAACTGACTGGGACACATAATGAACTCACTCTCCTGGCCGCGTTCTTTGTTCTTGAGGAGCTGGAGCTTCTGCTCGCGCTGCTGTTTCTCCAGCTCCTGCTCCAGCCGGTGCTGCTCCATCTTCCTCTGATGCTCCAGCAGCTCCTGCTGATGCTTGAGGGCCAGAAGCTCCTGCTGATGCTGGTGACAGAACAAGCACAGGTTAACAGCTGGTTCATGTGGCTAGCGGTTAAAGATGAGGGACAATATTAGTCAGGTGTACGAATCAAACCCAGCAAACAGAAACTCATGACGCATCAGCATTGAGCAGCTGAGCTCAGGTTACTCCAGGCTGAACCTGCGCGGTCCGTCACATCTGCCACATGTCTACAAGTCCATACAACTATGCCGGCCCTTCCCATCAGCAGATTATATCCACACATTTGTAAGTTACTGAACTCACACTGTATGACGTTACAGAAGGTTGTCCGGTTCCTTTCACACAGCAGTGTTGTGTTTCTTGTTAATCTGCACGTTAACACAAAGACTCGCACACAGAGTAGCTCTCGTGCTGGGCTTTTCTTGCGCATTAGTTTATCGGCGGAACATACCAACTATTCAAACTGTGTGGGGGAATCCTAAACTGAATCATTCACTACACTAACGAAAATGCCGTTGCGAGTCCTGAAAATTTACGAGTGTGTGAGTTTGCTTAGAGAATGCTGATGTCACTGCTGCAAACTCCCATATATACAAATAATTCTTTGAAAAATATAATTCACCTGCAGCCAGTAGGCCCCTGGGCTTCAGCCCGTGTGTTAATGTGCCCCTGACCAACGGTCTTGATTTTAATCATCATCCGATCACAAGCTGAACAGCTGATAACAGTTGGTGGTGATTGACTGGTGCACCATACAATACACAGAGGACTGTTGAGGCACACAATAAAGCCTCAAGTTTATTGCATTGCTCCCTCATTTTCTTCTGCAGAGTTTCGCTGTCCGTGTCTGGATGCCCTACAAACAGAACCCACAGCCGGGTCAGTCCACTAATAAACACTAGTGTGTGTACAATGGACCAAGAACATGCTTTGTTCTTGAGGAGCTGGAGCTTCTGCTCGCGCTGCTGTTTCTCCAGCTCCTGCTCCAGCCGGTGCTGCTCCATCTTCCTCTGATGCTCCAGCAGCTCCTGCTGATGCTTGAGGGCCAGAAGCTCCTGCTGATGCTGGTGACAGAACAAGCACAGGTTAACAGCTGGTTCATGTGGCTAGCGGTTAAAGATGAGGGACAATATTCGTCAGGTGTACGAATCAAACCCAGCAAACAGAAACTCATGACGCATCAGCATTGAGCAGCTGAGCTCAGGTTACTCCAGACTGAACCTGCGCGGTCCGTCACATCTGCCACATGTCTACAAGTCCATACAACTATGCCGGCCCTTCCCATCAGCAGATTATATCCACACATTTGTAAGTTACTGAACTCACACTGTATGACGTTACAGAAGGTTGTCCGGTTCCTTTCACACAGCAGTGTTGTGTTTCTTGTTAATCTGCACGTTAACACAAAGACTCGCACACAGAGTAGCTCTCGTGCTGGGCTTTTCTTGCGCATTAGTTTATCGGCGGAACATACCAACTATTCAAACTGTGTGGGGGAATCCTAAACTGAATCATTCACTACACTAACGAAAATGCCGTTGCGAGTCCTGAAAATTTACGAGTGTGTGAGTTTGCTTAGAGAATGCTGATGTCACTGCTGCAAACTCCCATATATACAAATAATTCTTTGAACTCCCCCCCCACCTACAATCCCTGCCGGTACGAGACTCGAACCCACAACCTTTGGGTTACGAGTCCGACTCTCTAACCATTAGGCCACGACTTCCCCATGGAGCGTCCACACGGAGCGTCCACAGCGCTCAGCACAATATCTGATTCATTTAACTGGACATCGGCCATGTTTTCTCTTCTTTGAGGGCATTCTGTGCTCAGCGGCGGTGGACTGAAGCGCCAGTAACGTTTACAGTAAGGCCCTTCACAACCTCCGTCACCTGCGCAACAAATCTGCAGAAATGAGTGGATATATCACACTAGATATTTAAAAGATGAAGAGACCTCAGATGAAGATACCCTTTTATAGACGCTTTAATTAAAAGTGATTGCTGAGAACCTTTCTAGCTTGTGTGAAGTAACCCAAGACTCGCAAAATTCCCTGATAGCCCTTCGGACAGGCACTCTTCAGACTTTGGTAGCCCGAAATTAATAAAAAAAAAAGTGTATATATATATATTTTTTAAATACAGAAAATTGGACAGGAGTCGAAATGTCAACCAAAACATTTTCAAAACACAAATATCAAGGAAGTAATTTACTTTAACTATTTACAGGGTATCTGCAGGATTTAAAAAAATTTATTTAATACATATTAAACTGTAAAATGACATGATTTACAGTTCAGACACAGGTTTTCATAAAAACAAAATATCTTATAAAATGATAAACATCACATTTCAGCCTTTAAACCATTTTTAAGAAAAGGGATGACTCAAACGTATAAATTATTATATTAATTTTTAAGCATATAAATATATATCATACTTGTCTTAATTTAGATTTTTAGAAGGCACATTAGCTTCTTTCACATTTACAACTCTGCGTGTTTGCTGCGTAAATAACGGGTCAATATTGGCATTGATCTGAACAAACAGCAGAAGGCTTACTGAGAATACAAATGAATTCTCTGCCACTAGATGGGGCTTTTGGAGCGGCAGAAATAAAGCGGTTTACTCGGCTTTACACAAAGCAGCGTTGCGCTCATAAATGCCACTTTATCAGGCATCAGGAAAGATGAAATGAAAATGCCATTCACAGATTTATTCACACAGCAAGTGTTTTGACCCTGAAACGTGCAGTGCTAATATTTATTCAAAGAAATCCATATCGTGAGTCTTATCTTTTCATCCCCAAATCTAAGACCTCTTGAAATTATAATACATTTTTTTAATACCTTTTAAGGTATTTAAGAGTTTTCATGATAAAAATTTGATACAATTAAATTGATGACTTTTTAAGGACCCGCGGGAACCCTGTGTTTAAGATGATGGGCAGTGATACATTTTGGGAGCCCGACTGGAAAACACGGTAGCCCCGGGACGTCAAGCTAGCTATACTGTGAGCCCTGGAACCTGAGGTGAATAATCAGTGCTGATCGTCGGTTAACTCTCGACAGACACTCACACTCTTAGCAGCTCTGAGCTTTAACCACTACAGTCCTGACCTTCATGTGTTCCTGTAACTGGGCCTCATGTTGTCGCGAGAGCTGCTCGTGTTTCCGCTGGAACTCGGCGATGAGGATCTGCCGCTGCAGCTGCTGCTTGTGTTTGAGCGCCAGCAGCTCCTGCTGTAGCTGCTGCTCGCGGCGGGTGGAGTCCAGCGACGGTGACAGCTCCACGCGCAGGGCCATGGGGATGGCGGCAGGAGGAACCCTCGCGGGCAGAGCGGAACTTAGCTCAACTGCAGAAACAAGACAAAAACACATTGACGAGACGAGCGCAGAGACACGGATTCTAACAGGCCGAAAGCTGGAGAGATACAAGCCTGACATCAGATCAGTGCGACTCGGCCACAGATAAACGACCACAACTTCTTTTAGAGCTACAACCAGCGGAAACTCTCTGGAGCTTGAAGTGAGTGACCCACAGGACACACACTCTCTCACACACACAAACACACACACACTCTCTCATACACACTCACGCACTCACACACACACACACACTCTCTCACACACACACAAACACACTCTCTCATACACACTCACACACACTCAAGCACTCACACACAC